CCTCAGCCTCTCCTTCTCAATCTGCCTCAGCCTCTCCTTCTCCTGCTCAATCTGCCTCAGCCTCTCCTTTTCCTGCTCAATCTGCCTCAGCCTCTCCTTCTCAATCTGCCTCAGCCTCTCCTTCTCCTGCTCAATCTGCCCCTTCTCCTTCTCAATCTGTCTCTGCCTCTCAGTCACCTTCTCCTTTCCTCCGAGCATCTCTCCATCAGTCTCAGTGAGCCACTTTTGCAAAGCTCCCACCCTCAGAACACGGGGCTCTGTCTTGGGGCCCAGGGACAGAGATGGTCCCTGGATCTCCTCTGGTGCAGTGGTTTCGAGCAAACTTTCAGTTGCACCTCCCCGGCGAGATCGCAGGGTCATGGCCTTCTCCTCCAACTGGGCAATAGACACACGCTCACTTGTTGCTTTCCGCTCACCCACGGCAGGTACAGTGTCAAACATGTGATCCACACGGAGCGGGTTGTGAGCTCTTGCCTGTTCATCCCCGTACCGCAGAGAAAGGCTCCTCCGAGGCCGAGCTACAAACGTGGGCTCCTCCAGCACTTGCACACTATGCCTCTCCACCACATTTTCAAACAAGGCAGCTCGTACCGTCTGAACCATGGTGCCAGGTACACCCTGCACTAATCTGCTGTCTGTCTGGATGCCTCCCTTTATCCCCTCAGCTGATAGGTCTTGGCGTTCCTGGAGGAGCCAGTCACTTAGGATATGGAACCTGTCTTCCCCTTCCTCTCCCTCCATTGGATTAGTGCTGGCAAGATCATCCAACTGAAAATAAAGAAATAAAAGGTTTTCTAACTTCAGCCTGTTTTCAAGTGTTCGAGGTATAAAGGGTGCAGGTTAAAGGAGGTGATTCACTGTATGGAAGCTTTTCCCTGCTCATTAATGATTTCTTATAACCCATGTACTTTCATGCTACATCATTTGGTAGAGCAAAATGGCCAATTCCACAGGCACCTGAGGGATGGATGAAGCCACACAAGCAACAAAGGAGCGATTCTAGGGCCCCACCCTGATGATATGGCAGTCTGCGGGGGACACAATATTTGCATCTATGGTAAGCCCTACTGACTGAAACTGGAGACAAAGGGTGGGGAGTGAAAAAGGAAGAGGTTGGGGGTGGGAAAAGGTGAGGGGACAGAGAGCGTGCAGACTGGACAGGAGACCAAAGACAAAAAGGATGGGAGGAACAAAGAAAGAGGGATTTAGCAGCACACAGACCTGGAAAACACAGATCCACCCTCTCTTTGTCAGGCCCATAAAAGTCTGGGTGTGGAGACACTGTAACCCAAGCAGGAGCCTGCTGACCTTTCCCAGCCAGTGCCAGTTCCCAGGGCAAACCAAACACTCCACCCCTGGTGCCGAAATGGTTGGCTGATGGAGTGCCTTGCTGTGCTTCGGATGACCCAAGCACCAGAAGTTTTACAGAAAACACACACCCTCCTAAGAAAAGTAAAGGTATGAGTGGAGGGAAGCCAATGAGAAAACTGAGACTGTAATCAAGAGGAGGTGGACTGGAGTGTCGGCAGAATGGCTGTGGAGTCTCAGGCAGAAGGAAAAGAGCCAGTTGGTAAATGTGGGAAAAACAAACAGCCTCATCTGAGGAACTGAGCAAAAAAAAACTGCTGCTCTGTAGGCACACCAAGCGGAAATGAGATGCACAAAAGCCAACGACAGCTAGCATCCTAATAGAGCCAGCAACAGCCCATGATGAATGTAAACCTGCACCGTGGAAGAGCTCACTACGAGGCAAGCCTGATTCAGCCACCAGGGTATAAGGGCCTGGACAGTCTGCGATAAGATACACTACTGATTCCAGAGGAAATTCTTTGGTAAGTAGGGTAATGGCAACTACTGGACTGAGCTTCCAATGAACGGCCTTTAACAAGTGGAAGTTGGCAGAAGAGCTATACATTACAATATTGCAAGAACCCAACATAAGCACTATTAAAATCAAAGGCAAAAATGCAAGAGCTTCAAGAGTAGTCAAGACCAGCTAAATCATAGAAGATGAAGACTGATCACATCACTGGTTGGGTGAGCTAGTTGAGGTGTTTCTGGAAAAGACAGGTCATGAGGCACACTTACACTTCCAATCATGAAAGTTTACAAAAGGTATCAAAGGTTAGAGACAAAGGTCTCCTGCTTCAGTGGCAGGACTTTTAAAGTAAGTGTTAAGCTGGGAATCAGCCAATGGGAAAGGAGCGTTACACTGATATAATGGTTGATGGGATACAGAACATAAAACACACACCCAAAGATATATCCACCCAGCAAGGCAGAACAACAAAAGCAACTGCAACCTGGGTTCGTGACACTGATACAAGAACCACCCAGGAGGCTATTGGAGAACCAGCACAGCTCCTACTCGAATTCCACCAGCAAGGTCAGATGCCGCATAGATTGTTGATACATGATGGGCAAACAATAAGGGCACTTGTGTGCCACCTACCCACAAAAGCATGGTGTGGGTGCCTTCTTCCCACTGCCTCAGCGCCACAATATTCCGCCACAGCTACAGGGAAGCCACAGGAACTCAGTCAGCTGAACTTGTGGACAATATCTGACCTTCCAGCAAACCAAGCCTTCCCTCCTGACGACATCACGATCCCTGCATACCTTGCCATCGTTGCAGCCTAGACCAGGAATCATCTCCAGCTCCAACTGTAAAGACCAGACTTCTTGTCTTCCTTGCCAGCACTACTATCCACCATGACAAGACTGTTCAGCTTGGAACATCCACACTGTCTCCACCAAAGTCAACCAGGAACCTCGGGGTAATGATATACAACCAGCTGTCTTCTGCTGGCCACATAGTGGCTAACTCCTGGTCTTCACTCTGATCATCTGAAGATGAGGCCTTATTTATCCAAGTATGCAGCACAACTTCTAGTCCAGGCACTTCTCACAATTAGACTACTGCAACAATTTATTAAAAATGTGGCAGCAAGACAGGTGTTCAACCAGCCTAAATACTTGGAAAGAGCTAAGGAGGGGTGTCACACATCAGCTTTCTATAGACACTTGCATCAAGGTCCTTGGTGCTTCCTTTCAGAGCCATTAATGGACAGTGTCCATCAAGAGACTCTATAAGACCTACGTCCCATGCCGGGCTCTTCAGTCAGCAAACCAACACCACCCTCCACCACGCAAGAAGTATCATGTTTCTCATGTGTGCTTCCCCAGTGGCAGAATGAACTTATGAAGCACATCAGGTCATTAGATTCCCTCTCTACCTTCAAAAAACACCTCAAGGTCCATCTGTTCCAACAACATCTCTACAAGCCAACCTCACTCCACATTCTTTGACTGACCTTAACATTTTGCTTAATGAATTTTTGTCTTATAAGGTTCTTGTTTTGTTTGGAAGATGTTGAATAGCTCATGCTCCAGTAGTGCATACACTTATACTTGGGCATTCACTGGAAGCTTAGCCTACCTACACATATAGCTAGCTAACTCTAAATGAGACCTTGTCCAGCATCTGATCCCGATGTTCTGTTAAATAGGGGTCTTCTTTCTCCTACCCACACCCCGATCAAAAGGTCACTACTCATATGTTGCTTGGCTTTGTGAGCGCATGAACACCTTAAATTACACTATTATTAATATGGAATAAAAATATGAAGAGAGACGGTCCGACAAGGAGGAACAGACTGGTAATATTCAAAGAAGCAGGAGTGCCAAGCCACTCCTGCAGCAGAAATGCAAGCAGCTGTGCTGCCGGGCCTTCCCAAAACTCACCTTCCCGTCGCTCCCACAGTTTGGCTTCGGCACCTCCCTCCCCTGAGGGCTTGGTGGAGAGCAGCTGAACTCCTCCGACTTCTCCACAGCAAAGCTGGAGGAGACACATGGTTACAGTCACCAAAGCACACGCACATTTATGCAGATTACTGCACGCGTACACACACACAAACACACACACACAAATGTACTCATATGTAACAGCATGATTACGTAAAGGTAAGCAGAGAATATACCAAATAACAGTACGTATACAGTGCTCACAGAAAGTCTTTTATAACAAAAATCATTACTTAATTCATTTGTTTAGGTACTATATATTACATTAGAAACAACCAGTCATTTTAAGTAACACATTAATTTCAAGTAGTAATAAGTTGAAACCCAAATTAAAGTTCTAAAAGAGCTGCATTGACAAGCAGTTTTAATTAGTAACACCTTCGCAATGACATAACATTTCAGTTTAGTATCTCTTTAGGAGGCAATGACAACTGCAATTAATGTCAAAATGGCAATAACAGAACTGAATGGGTCAGTCAAAAAAATGACACTTAAAATGTCTATGTAGAACATATGTGCAGATATGATAAACACTGTTTGTCAATGGACCCAATAAATTAAACCTTTAAGAATTAAGGAAGTGTCCCAAGAACTTTCTGTGAACACAGTACATAACGTATTTTTAATCTGAAATGAAGATGAAGTGGCAGGAAGAGGCAAACTGTTCTTACCGTTTGGTGAGGTCGGGGGGTAGGGGGCGGGGCTTAAACAACATCCTCGGAGTGGGAGCTGGAGTGGACGGCGAATCTTCAGTCAGCTTCTGGATCCTCTGCTTCACACCCATTGGGATGTCCACATTCACAGCGGGCTGTGCTGGGGTTCGAGGCTCCCCAGCAGGCAAGGACTCGGCAGCAGGGGTCAGGAGGGTGGAGTCAAACAGACGGGTGATCCTCCTTTTTATGCCATCACTTGTCCGTACCTCCTCTCGGCTGTCCTCTTTCTCATTCTTCCTTTCAGGCAAGGAGGGCTTTGGTTGGTGTTCTGGGACAGAGGATGTCACAGACTCTGCCCCTTTCTCACACTCCCCCCTCCCTGAGGGCATGCTGTTATCCTCGCTGACCCTCTCTGGAGTGTTTTCCTTGGCATCAGTTCTGCTGGGTCGTCGGTGCAGTGAGAGACCGACCAACTCAAACTTGGCAGTGAGGTCCGTGGACAGAGGCCGCCGACCCTTCCAGCGGGGACTGGGATCGGGGGCTACAGTTTCTGCCTGGGCCTCTCCTGGCAGCAAAATGGCAGAGACAGGCCGTGTCTTGAGGCTCCTCCACGTTCCTGTCCTCAATGAAGTCACACCCTTGGCTGAGGAATCCTCAGCAACCTGTTCTTTGGCGCTGTCCCGCTCCTGATGGGAGAGGTAGCCCATGGACTTGGCTCTGACGATGGACCGCTCGCGACTTCCTGGCTTCTCCTGTGCCTCCCCCCGCTCTGTGGTGCCGGACCACTCTGCTGAAGTAGAAGGCTTGGCCTTCGGTTGTCTGAAGTTTGCTCCCTGCGGCCCAACATCTGCCGAAATAGAGGTTGGCATGCTGAGGACATGGTGCCTCGGGGTTTGTGTGAGGCCAGGCTTGTGGGTGGTTGTCGTCGTAGCTGGAGCAGGGTAGTTAGCCAGAGACTCTGAGGGTTTAGCGGTGCTGGGCAGGTCCGACTTGAGGGCACCAGGTTGGGCCAAGTCAACCCGAGGCTTAGTGTTGGGTTTGGGGGCAAGGATGGGCCTCACCGTGGCATTCTTCTCCAACATGTAGGGTTTGGGAGTGAGGCGTGGCTTAGGCCCCGGCACAGGCTTAGCTGGCTCTGGGCTAAGGATGAGGGAGCCTGGGCCAGAGCCCTCCACGGGGTTCTTGTTGCTGGAGTCCGTCAGGGGACTCAAATGCAGACGACCCCCGAGACCTCCGGCTCTCCCCACATCCACTGACTTGACTTCCACCTGCATGGCCATCACCTTACTCAGCACCTGGAACAGGAGGTGCGTGGGTTAGTTTATGTTGGGAGTATGCATGTTCTCCTTAGGGTATGCTAGTTTCCTCCCACAGCTCAAAAATGTACACGGAAGTGAATCTGCAACTTTAAATCATCCCGTTTGTGCCCTTCGATGGACCTTGTCAATGTGCTTAGTGCCCTGGGTAGACTGAAAGGGGAAACTGTTTACATAAAATGGATGAATGCAGAACGGTAGGATGGTGAGTGAATTTTTGGATCTGTTTGGGGGTTTAGAATGGCTGAATTGCTAAGCTATCCATTGCGACAGCGCCCCCAAAGCGAACGGCAGACCGCATTATGGCTGCCTCACGCGCTTTTCCCAGAGCATGACAGCAGCTGGCCGAAAACACGTAGCAGAACACAGGAGGAGCACACTGCACATGCAACACAAGAGGAGCAGATTAACGGGCACCAAGGAGTCAAAGGGAGTGTGAATGGTTCCCAAGCCAAGAAAAAAACACCTGGACTGAGTGAAAGGCAGAGAAACACAAGCTGATTGGCCATTTATCCAGGTTGATCCCAGTTCAGCAGGAACCGTTAGGGACCCAGAGAAAAGCTGAATGACCCCCCCCCCCCACCCCCAGGCCACATTAGCAGCGGCATGCCACCTGGCTGAGTGCCATCACTGTCTCTATAGCCAACATCAACTAGGTCAAACTGTTCCTCTGGCCAGATGCATGTATTGGCTGGAATCCACAGATTTAGGATCAGGACTGGACTTGTGGAACATCTGGCGTAGGTAACAGGTTGCCAGGCTCCGTACCCACATGACCTGCCCAGGATTTCACCTTCACCAATGTTCTTCCACCACATTAAAGCTCAGAACGGCCAGGGTATGTTATGCCCATACATACACAGGCAAATAAAATCTGCCCCCACATCACTCCACATTCCCCCCTGTAATATCCCACCTACCTGGACATCAACCGTCTGCACTGGGACCCTGGTTTCTATGGTAACAGCACATCAACGTCATCACAGTAAGCAGAGAGAGACCGTGTCCTGGAAGGAAGGGATAATGTCAATATCTCTGTTTGATGCCGTATTTCCCAGGGACAGACCCAAGCGGGATACCTCACATTAATTCCAGAAAGTGCTGGGTCTCTGGAGAACCTTCTCTGTCCCCTATCCAAAATGTTCCAGCTCTCTTTAATTATTCCACCTCTCTGTTTAATTACTTGCTCTCCTCTGTGGCAGCAGTCATTTAAAACCGGGCAGCTCCCTGGTCCTGAAGGCTCCTGTGGTATTGCGGAGCAGAGTAACCCCGATAACCGCCTGTATCATCTCCGACGTTATCAGGTGCCCTGACCGAATGAGTCCCGAGGAACGTTTGGCTGCTGGAATCTTCTGGAGAAACACTTTTTCAAAAGTTGAACCAAATGCAGTCACGGCAGACCAGCACCAGGCAATACCAGACTTCAAGAAGCAAAAGAGCTGCACCTCGGAGTTGGCAGAACCGCCCAGCCCGGTTCTCAGAGCCTGATTAGACGTTCCAGCAGCAGGCCTGGGAAAGCCTCCCGTAAGCAAAGCGTCAAATCACCTCGTAACCTATCAGATGCGTGACTCAGCCTTTGTCCGGTTACTATGACCCCTCCCAGTGCTTGCAGCCAAGCCCGCAGCTCCGGGTCCCAGCGCGTGAGTCTTTCCGGCACAGCAGCATTCCCGGACAAAGGAAAACAAACAAGTCTGACAGAACTCGGCACAACTCCCGTCAGCATCCCGAGGGAAGATGCCGCTGACAGCTGCGCTCCTCGTCGAGGGCCAGCACGAGCTGAAGCAAGGCCGGGATCGAGAGGGATGGAGACAGCAGCGGGAAGCAGAGATCAGGCGCGCAAGTCTGCCAGGGGTCTTGTTGACAGGAAATGCCTCCGCTAGGCTGGAATGCCAAACATTCGCTGTGGGGTGGGCAGCCTCCATAGAGACCTTCCCAAAACCACATGGATCACCCCCTGGGATCACATGTAGAACACGGCATGATGGGAAGGCAGCTGCCTCTGGACAGCGAGCCTGCCCACCAAGTCAGCAAGTCCCATCCAAGAGAAACAGTGGAGATGGATTTTTTTCCAAATCTAGACACAGCACATACCTTACAGTAAAACGTTCCAACAAAGCAACTCAAGAACCTCATGTAAGGTATACCTCCCGGACTGGGACCTGCTGGTTGGCAGTCCAGTCACTAAAACCAGATTAACGACTGTCGGTTAAGCGGAAACAAGTCGATGTTGGTAAATCCCTAAAAAGCTAAAAGAAATCCTGAAGGTTTACCCCAGTGAGCAGCGACTATGAGCGTTGTTATTGCGGCGATTACAGGGACGCAGGCTCCCTGCAAGTGCGAGGTGGCCAACCTGCAGATTACCGGCCGCTGTCCCGTTGGCCTGGCAACCACGTTTACCTGACCTGTCACATGGCTTCGCACACTCCCACACACACACGCACGCACGCACGCACG